CAATTGAAACCTTTTCCACAATCAGGACATTCAAATGGTTTCTCTCCTGTGTGAATCCTCTGGTGCGTGAGCAGTTTGGAATTCCTACTAAAAAGTTTCCCACAATCCAGACACTCATATGGTATCTCTCCAGTATGCATCCTCTGATGTATCACCAGGTTGGCATTCTGACTGAAACTTTTCCCACAATCAGGACACTCATACGGTTTCTCTCCTGTGTGACTCCTCTGGTGTATCACCAGCTTGGAATTCTGCTTGAAACTTTTCCCACAATCAGGACACTCATATGGTTTCTCTCCTGTGTGGGTCCTCTGGTGTAACACCAACTTGGAATTCTGCTGGAAACTTTTTCCACAATCTGGACACTCATATGGTTTCTCTCCTGTATGAATCCTCTGGTGTTCCACCAGGTGGGAATTCCGACTGAAACATTTCCCACAGTCCGGACATTCATATGGTTTTTCTCCAGTGTGAGTCCTCTGGTGTATTTCCAACTCGGAATTCCAATTGAAACCTTTCCCACAATCTGGACACTTATATGGTTTCTCTCCCGTGTGAGTCCTCTGGTGTATCAAAAGCTTAGAATTCTGCTGGAAACTTTTCCCACAATCCGGACACTCATATGGTTTTTCTCCAGTGTGAGTCCTCCGGTGAATCATCAGGTTTGAATTCTGACTGAATCTTTTCCCACAATCTGGACACTCATATGGTTTCTCTCCCGTGTGTGTCCTCTGGTGTATCACCAGCTTGGAATTATGCAGAAAACTTTTCCCACAATATAGACACTCATATGGTTTCTCCCCATTGTGAGTGTTTTTGTGTATCAGCAGATTGGTGTGCATGCTAAATCTTTTGTCAGATGAGGAGCACTGGTAATTTCTCTTCAGTATGGGTCCTTCCACAAGTCACGAGAGACCTGTTCTGAGTAAAGCTTCTGCTGAACTCCAAACATCTATATGGCTGTTCACAGGGTACATCAGCTTATGCATCAATCAAATGTGATCTGCCATCTTTGTTTTTTCCAAAATGCGTAGTCTGTGAGGGGTTTGGGGATCTTTGAGGTAGAGAAAAATATTTTGGATCGCTTGCCTGGTGGTTGTTTCATTCAAGCCATTCTTTCCTTCCTCAAAGCTTTAATTAATGCCTGCCAA